GTAAAATATGGTTTTTTTTTTGGGTTTTCCTGATTTTTCTTTACATAATTTTTGCTCTTTCACGTCCAAGAATCCGAGCATTATGCAAATTCCGAAGGACCACTCCCCCAAACTGACGTCCTGAAGACATCCAGCGTTGGCCATTGTCTGCTTCACTCGCCACACTTTCCCAGCCAAGAAAGAGAGCATGTCTTTATCGTTTATGCACTTTTGAGACGCGTCCCCGCCTCTTCACGGGCCTCAAGGAACCGTCGTCAAGTTTAGAAACATGCCCAAAGCACGCCGAAATGACATAAACTTTTTGTCACTTTTTCAATGAACCATTTTTTTGAACCTTAGGCCCTTTTACTACCCAATCAACGCAAGATACGTTTGCAACTGTTGCCCCAGTTTTACCACTTTCTCCTCCCTGGTCCTTACCAGCGCGGAACACACGAAAAATGATATACCGGCGCATTCACGTCATGATGTGGCTATCAATTTTTGTGCGGCGCGACGACTTCAAACCGGTCCTGCGCCTGGGCCGAGTTATGGTACATCATTATTGGCAAGGTTATTTGGTTGATGCGCTATTGTCAGGGCGAGTCATTTTCGGAGGCTACCTGCCCGGGTTTCACTTGTTTGTCATGATAAGGGATGATTGGTGACTCGTCCCTTATTTTTGTCTATTCCAATTTGACAGTAAGGTTCACGCCAGATCTCGCCGAACTTTTACAATCCCATACTTTAGAAATTAACATATCATTTCAGAACAGTCTAAGATTCTAGAAAATCCCACCTTAATAAGTGATTTTCTACAGCTGCTAAATATTCTGTGGGTATGGAGTCCACAGTATTAGGAATTCCACAACCCCGCTTCACTATGCCATATGATTGGCGGATTGATCGGCTTCCACCGACCGGCCCGAGCGGAATTCCCGTTTTCTTCCCAGCTGTGACCTCAGCACTCGATGCTATATTTCGCCTCGCAAATTTCACCTCCACCCTCCTCATGCAAAGGTTCCCCGACGTGAAATGCCCTGCCTGTTAGCCGGGCAAAAACTTGTTCACCGTTTCTCTGGGTCTCCCCCGGCAATACTCGACCAACAACGGGCTCTCCCCTGCTATCCATGTGATTTGCCGTGTGTGTTTGGTGAAAAACGGACTTGTCGATGCTTTCCCTGAATCATCGTGGCCTTCGTCCCAGGGCGGAATTAAAAGATACAATTGCAAGAAGTTTCTTTTCTCTGATCTTTATGCGAAATTGTTCAGAGTTTTTTAGCTGTATTCTACCCAGATTTTCCTTTAGATGTTCTTTTAGTTTGCTTCTGTTTTTTTGCAAGCTGTTCTTCCATTCTCGACGATATCTCGTTCTCTCTCGCGCGCACGCTCGCTTCTCTCTCTCTCACTCTCTACCTCTCTTTCTCTCTCTTTCGCTCTCACTCTCTATCACTCTCTCGCTATCTCTGGCTCAGTCTCAATCTATCTCTCTATCCCGTTTCGTCCAAAAACTTGGTCAAAACGCAGCGCGTTTCGACGCCCTCACTGTTTTCATAAAACGCAACATATTTTGTCTGACCATGCATTCCACATCTACAAAACTATTCAAACCACCACAAGTTTCACGTGAGCTAATTTTCATTCAGACCCCCCTCCTCCCAAAGCGAAGGTCACAACCCCGCAATTTGCCTCGGATCCCCCCTCGACCCGATTCCTATTTGCACACCGGGGCCCGCTACACACGCCAATCGCCCGGGCTTTTTTGGGACCGTGAACTTGAATTCTGATGTGAGTTTCCCCCTGGTGTGGTCACTATTGTAGTCTACACCCCACGGGATGAGCTGCTGCGGCTGGTTCTAGATTTTTTTATGCAAAGACTTTCTTTTTTTTAGGAAATCGCTGCGTGAACTGCTGCACCTTGGCCCGGAGACGAGCACAAAGTGCGCCGATTATGAGCAGAAAAAGTCGGCTGAATCGAGTTATTACGCATACAAGGCGTGGTTGAAGAATGAAAGCTCGAAGTTCAGGTAAAGAAATTTTGTTATTAAACGGAATTTTAAACGAGGCGATACTTCCATTAATTTGCAGTTTACCCACGTCGCCTTATCACTCAAAAACTCGCGAAAAGTGTTTATTCAGGCCTCCCATTTTTTCTTGACCTTCTTAGCAATTTTTTTTTGTGTTTTGAAAATTAAAAAGCTTTCAGTTGCAATTTTTAATATCGATTTTTGCAATATTTTATTTTTCAGCAAGCCCTCGCCTGCAACAAGCCATTCTTGAAAAAATTCTTTCACGAATTCGATTCAACTTTCTGCAAGCACCCAAAACCACTAGATCCGCTGGGCGGCAAATTATTTCGAGTATGTTTCAGTCGTTCACCTATCAGTCAACCACAAATCGTTTTTCTTTCCAGATGAACCTTGGTGGAAATTCAAGCGAACCAGCCTTGGTCATCAACAAAGCAAAAAGTGGAAGAGCGACTAGCGAATTTTAACGAGCAGACAAAGCAGAAGGTATTATTTTGAGGCCTCGCCTGTCTTTTGGATCTAGTGCCGATCTGAAGGTCAGGGGGCTTTAGTAAAAATCTGACAAACTGAAAAATATCCGTTTAGGTGAACAGCATCAAGGAAAAATATGGCAAGAAACCGGAAGCGCATAATGGCACCACTACGCATAAATAGAGCCAATTTCCTGCATAAATTTCATGAAGGGTGAATAAAAGATTTCATAATTGTTTCAAAGGAAAAGTATTTTTAAGCTGATGTCGCTGCCAGTCCATCATCGATGTTTAGTTTGAAATGGGGATATGCAAACGCATTTATGTACAGCATATTCATTGCACAAAGGTATGAGACCAGTGCGCGATTGAGAGGACACAACCGATAGATCAGTCGCTGTCGTCGCTATCGGGGCTATCGCTTAGATTGAGCATGAGTCCACTTCTCAGCCGAGAAAGAAGACCCCCTAAAATAATTCGTTTTCACCGTCCACTTCCTTAATATCTAGTATTCAGCATTGATCTTCCATAAACAGGCCGCATGTTTAAATTTCTTTCCGTCGCTGCTAATTACAACAATGAGTTTACCTAAAGGTCCGATGCTCCGGATCAACCTCATCATCATGTACTCCTTCTCCCATGCTTCGTCTTCTTTTGCGTACCGTTCAATATTCTCTTGGTAGTCTTCAATATCGAACTAAATGAGACATTTTCTGGGTGAGTTTCACTTTGCGGATCACCGTCATCTCGGCGGGAGCATCTTCACGCGTTATTTTAATTGAGTCAGAATTTCCGGTCAGCAGCTCTTCTGCGCTCAGGGTCATGATGCCGTCTGCGTCCAGTTCCAAGGTGACGCCTACCTAAAACCAAACTTGTTTTTGTGGAAAAACAACTCGGCCTTCCAAGAATACGCACCTCAACTTCTCCTTCGGGAGCTTGGCGGATCGGTAGCGAAAATTTCCCGAGTAGTGTGTTGTGCTCATACCGCACTCGTTCCCCGGCATACAACTGGAAACCATGGATTTAGTAAATAATTCTGTGGCTAGTTAACGATAATCATTAGATAGGAATTTGAAAATAAGGCGTGTTGCTTAAAGAGTCGACTTAAACCGAAAACCACTACAAATACAGGGTGTCCCAAAAAATGGGGGTTTTTGTTAAAAGCACTTGCATGGGAAAAAGCCTCGAAAATTCACCCAATTCCGCAAAAATGTTAGTAAATGTCATAAAAATTCGGGAATTTTGAGAATCGGAAAGAAGGTATTTCCTCGGCTCGTTGAGAGCTTTCGATAAATACCTAAATCGTAATCGGCCATCACTGCGGACCACTAGAGGGGGGGGGGTCTGGGTCTTTTTTTGTGACGCCCTGTAGTGCGCACTAACCAATTAGCATTTCGATTCATAAACCAGAAACCCTAGATTTCACTTTATCAGCTTAAAGGCTTCAGAACAATCTATGCAAATTTAAATCCAAAACTAGTATTATGCTAATCTATTTGGGCATTCCTGATCCCTTTAATGACTATCGAAACCGACCAATACTTGAAATCAACGAGACCCCGTTATCCCACAAGCCTCTATCGAACAACTAATCTCCATTTGTCACAAAAATATTGCTCTTCCCCCCGCTTGGCCTATGGACTCCAACCTGCTCAACCGGCGCATAGATATAGAATAATGCAACCCAGATATAATGCATAAAAGCACCCACATCGATCTGCAGCTCCTTCTGATTATCAACGGAGTTCTGGAAGGTTTCCGACACTTTTGCTGGGACCTTAGTATTTCGTGGCAGAAGGACCGAATTTTTGCCGCCAAGAACTGATGTGCCCAATGTTAATGGATAAACATCGGTAAAGGAGATATCACGGATTCCATCGTACTGGCTTCCGCTAAGCTTGGCTGCCTGCAACATTTGAATGCGGGGAAACCTAAGGTCTTGCTATTACCAGAAGCGCAGCCCCATGCGCGACTGCTTCCTCCGGATTGATCGTCGTATTCAAATCTTCAAATCCATAGGTTTCGCCTAATAGGCGCCGTACCATCGGTATATAGCTGGAACCACCGATCAAGAGAACCTCATCGATCTGGATATCATAATCAACTTTGCTCTTGGACGAGACTAACTCACTTTTTCTGGTTTTAACTTGGCATCCTTTAGAGCTTGGTCGACCGGAAGCATGGCGTTTTTGAAGATTTTTTCGTTGATTTGTTCATATTTCTCCCTTGTAATTATTGTGCGGTAGTCAAAGTCCAGAAGCAACGACGGAACAAATATTTCAGCCTGAAAGCGAAAAGATATGCTTGTCGTCTTGGAACACCAGATCAGATCAAATTCCGTTTTTGCACACCGACACATACACACTTGCCTCGTTAGCCGTCGAAAGTTTGATTTTTGCCTGTTCGCTTGCCAGCCGGAGCCGCGCCATTGGCCGAAGCTCGTCCTCCACATCTTTTCCGTAGTTTTCTTCCAAATCCTTGACCAAGTATTCGAGAATCTTATTGTTGATGTCTTCACCACCCAGTTGAGGGTTTCCGCTTGTCGCCTTTACAGCGAATGTAGTGCCGGTGACTTCCACAATCGAGACGTCAAGCGTTCCACCGCCAAAATCATAGACGAGGATGGTCCGTTTGCGCTCAACGGCGCATCCATGACCAAAAGCCAGAGCAGCAGCAGTCGGCTCATTCAAGAGTCGTAGCACTTGGAGCCCAGCCTTTTCTGCAGCTTCTTTTGTTGCTTTCCGTTGTGCGTCATTGAAGTACGCGGGTACGGTAATCACAGCTTTCGTTACCGGACGCCCGAGGTAATCAGTGGCCGTTTTCTAAAAAAAATCAGTTGCCCTATAAAAAATGTAATTCTTCGCTACCTGAAACTTTTCCAAAAACATCGTTGAAATCTCGGTTGGGCTATAATGTTTAATTTCCTCATCATTGACGACTTTTATAGTCGGCATCCCATCGACGTTCAGGACTTCGTAAGGCCATTTCTTCAAACTGGCCTTTACATGCTTGTCGCGGAACGGTCTTCCGATCAGTCGTTTTACCTCTATAAGGAAATGGTAATTTGCGTCTTAACTGCGTACCATATATTGTGTTTCCGGCATTTCTTGTTGCGTGGTTCTTCGCCGCATCTCCAACCATGGTTCTGCCGTCGATGAAAGCAACTTGTGAAGGCGTAGTACGATTTCCTAGAATTTACAGATGTGTAGGGCTCTTTTCTCAAACTAGCATTCGCTTTTGAAATATGCTCACCATACTCATTTGGCAGAATCACTGGCTCGTTCCCAAGGCAAACCGCTACGACGGAATAAGTCGTACCCAGATCGATTCCAATGGTAGGTTCCGTATTCTCGAACCTAAAGTTATCAGTCTCTCGAGCACATTCGGGTTTTTTTTTAATATTGGCAACTGTAATGTAGAAAGCCGAAAATTCTTTTAATTTATAACAACCTACATCAAGCGGGCATCGTTCATCAGCTTTTCGGACACTACCAAGCGGGCCTGTGTCTGGATGCGCATGCCCTCCGCAATCTTTTCGAGTTCCTCCGCCTCAATGGCACGTCGCTCTGCCTCTTCTTGACGACGTCGTTCGCTTGCCGATAACTTTTGCTTGGTCAAGGCTTGCTGTGCCACTAAAGCATTTTGTTTGAGAGCGAAGAAAATAATTTTATACCGATTTGCTCTTCCAGGGCACGCTTGTCCACTTCTAGCCTCCGCTGCTCCTCTGCAGCAAGACGCAGCCTTTCCTGGGCCTGCGCCTCTTTCCGCTCGGCTTCCAACATGGCCTCTTGCCGAGCCTGCTCATTATCGAGCTCGAGCGTACGTATACGGTTGCTCTCAGCCTGCAGCAGACGTGCCTGATTCTCGAGGGTCGCGCGTTGCTGTTCCAATTCAGCAGAACGGCGTTGTATCTCCGCCTCTTTTTCGCGAGTGGCAATCGCTAACAACGTCTTTTCGCGAAAATCTGTCTCGCAACTCTAAAAAAATACGGGTGCTTTTTGGTTAATCGGTAGGTACCAGCGCAGATTTTTACGCTATTTACACGCCATCACGAGATACGCACGACACCTCTTACCACTTACCGACATTCCACGAGCCAGCCCTCCTCCACGGAGACCAGCAAAATATTTTTTCGCCGTTTCAGGGTCAAGGTGAGGGTGCTCTTCTTTGAAATTTTGGAAGAGGGTTTCCTCTTCTTCGACCACCCATTGCTGATGTTCAAGTTTAGCCATATTGATCGCGACATCAATATCCGTTTCCGCCATTATGGTAGTGGTTTTCTGAAAAGTTCCGACACCCATCAAAAAATTTTCGAACCAACCGCCTCCAGGAAAATTTTGTACTGAGTGATTCCGCCTTCCACAAAATGCAACCCTTGCATTCTCATCCAGTTCAAAGCGTTGCCGTGGCGGAGGTCGGTAAGCTTGTTCTAAAGATGGTTCGGAGCCTGTTTGGGTAATTATTACCTCTAGAAGGCTAACCAAGCGCGCGCGATTTTCTTTGATTTCATCATAATGTTGGGTGAGGAATGGCGCGCTTTCTGAAAAGCTATATGTTTTTCATTAACGTTGTTTCTCATCACAGGAGCGCGGTTTTTGGTAATTGTTAGTTTGAGCTTGTTCAGGCTGCTTGCGAAGTGAAGTGAACAATGAGGCTCATCGTTCGCTGTCACAGCATCTACCTTGATCGAAAGCTTCCAGGGCTGCCTTTTGACCTTGAAGGTGAGCTTCCTGGACGTCCCCGGCCGTGACATCTTCCAGAAACTTGCTCAAGGATGGCTGAAGTTATAATATACGACGAGTTTTTGCAGCCTTGCCTTCAAGACGACGTCATAGGCTTGAATCGCGATGTCTGCTGCGCGGCCGACTTTTTCCTTCTTGTAGCAGGTGGCATTGAATTCGCAGTGAAGCTTGTTTTTTTCCTGACACCATCCGAGCATAGTCAGCAATACTTACAGAGAGCTCTAGCTGGAATTTTTCCTCTTCATCGTACCTGCCCGCGTCATCCGGAAGTGGTTGGTTGGAATATGCCTGAATTCGACATGATAAATGATAGGACGGGAGAGGCGGAAAATCCCAAAGCGCCATTGACCTGCATGGCTTCATTCAGAATCTCCTCGGCTCGCTGTCCAAAAAGCTCCGGTTCCCTGGCTTCGTGGCTTTCCTATAACAGCATTAGTTTACGCAAGACGAATTAATTCACCGCCAACCACAACTCTTCATAGCGCAGACGACCGGCATTCGCTGCTCTGCTGTACCAAAGTTCGCGCCAACCCTACAACGGAGACGCTGAGCATATGATTATATGGTTACATCGAAGAAGCTGCTGATCTTGTTTCTGGCTCGGCTGCGACCCTGCTCGAAGATTTTCTGTAAAATAGTTTAAACAACTGCTTTTTTTCAAACCAAAGCGCATTCTTTGAACGATGATGCATCGAGAGGCTGCCCCAGGATGTGTTTTGGGCGAAGTTGGCTCACTACATAGTCAACAGTTCCGGAAAGGCACGTCAAGAACTCGGGACCACACTCTGAATACTGTCAGTTTTTTTTGCATACGCCTTAAAAATACGTGAATGCAAACAGTGGACGAGAATCTATACCTCTTGCTAATATTTCGGAGCTCGCACTACGCACAGCCGTATTTGGAGGCGGTACGAGATATGTATCGGTACGGTCGAAGGCGTTAAAAACTCCAGTAATCATATCGTAGAGCCCAGGCGAGTTCACCGCGCCTTGGCGGATGTCGGACAGGAAATCTGGGCACAGCCCCGTACCCATCATCGCATCTCGGACCAAAAAAAGCATATGCTAAAACCCAGATAAATTGCGAAAAACGATATCTCTACCTGGTTCACCGTCGTGCCGGTCACACCGCTGTAATTGATGAACATGCTTAGACTGTCAAAATCAGTTGAGTCGAGCTTTGAGTTGACGTTGAAGATCTGAAGAAGATCTATATCCACACTGCAGAAAATAACTAACGATAAGACTACGGTGGTAATTGCACTTGCCTGGAACGAGGATAAGAGCAACGACGTGGAAAAATAGTTTATCGACTCGTTGGTTTCGGCTTGGTTATCGAAAGTGCCCTGGGTGTCCATCAAAATCACAGCAATCTATCACAAAAATCGGAACTCAGAAAATGAGGGAATTTTGCACCTCTTTGTCCCCATCGTATAGAGCGGAGAACACTTCGGGCCAAACTCGGAGGCCCTTGGTGTCTCGAAGATAGCCTGCCTTGAAGGGTAAGCCGTCGTAGCCGCTTAACAAGTAATTGTTGTGCGGTTGCTTTGTGTAAATGCAAAAAGGGTTGTGCAGTTACGGTATGCGATATGTATAACAAACGTCGTCAATTCCCAACTTACCCGATCCACTCGTCGTCACCAAACTCCGAATTCCCAGTCCGCAATTTTTTCAGAAAGAAGTTCTGGAGAAACGTCTTGCCAAAGCGAGATTTGCCGGCCGTCGAAATCAGGGCCACCTGAAGAAAAAAAAGAATAGCGTATTTCCTTTTCTTATTACCGGTCGAGTACCAATCTGTGCGCAAAGGGCGTCCAACAATTCACGGTAGACAACCACCTCCCCAGCGACAATTTCATAAAGGGTTTCCATTGTCTTCCGAGCCTACGCAAATTTTTAGGTGACGTGTTTTGAAAAAGACCAACGTCAATTTGCTGAGGGATTGTCTCGAATCCTGCGTCAGCCTCCGAGGGTGTGGGAGAATCCATGTGCTCTTTCCTATGTCCAATGCCACATAAAGCCCAATAACAACACATCAAAAAAAACTGTCTAAAAATACTTATGCAATAAGTCCAAAGGGACGGTAAGATCGACGAGCCCTGAACAACGGCACGACGGCACAAGCCCGCTTATATACGCAAATTCTTTTGCGCAAGAAGTTCTTATCAGAGCGCTTAGTATGCCCGGCTTCCCGTCTTGAAGCGGAGTCCTTTTGCAAGCGGCACATAATTTTCTTGTATAAGAAAATCACCACTATAAAGCGCAAACTGCGAAGCGAGCATTATGCTATTTTCTTGCTAATCGATGTAGGCTGGATGTGTAACGGTGCCAAAATTTTGGGGGTCTTTTTCGTCATCAAACAGGGCAGCAATTTTTCCCAAAAAATCAGGTTAGAAAAATTATATAAAAACAATGAGGGATCTCTGAGCTCGTGCAGGCATGACCGCAGCAAAAATAGAAACCCAACTTCATTGGTGCTATTCTCTGACCTAAATATGGCTGAATAGCCAACCGGAAAGTTTGGTCCGTCATCTGTAACCCTCGAGAGTGCAACCAACTGCCTGAATTCTTGATACCCTCAAAGCCCGTTCGACGAAACAACGCCCTTCCTTTGCTTTCCTCTTATTCTTTACTAACATTTTTTGTCGTATGCATGCAGCAACGAAAACCGGATTTCACGTGAATTCGATGCAACCAAATTTCGGATATCGAGCCACGTATGTGGCCAGGTTGGGTGCCTCTTATCGCGTAGCGCTGCCCTGAATTTTCTTGCGCTGCAAAATTGTGTGGCTACATAGAACCCGGGGCGTAAACAGGTTGAGGCGCAATCCAGTATTTCATCACTCTGTGCATACGGTAATTCACATAATTGCCTTCAGGCTATTGTGAAGATATCTCAATCTTCTAATGTTAGCTTTCTTTCGTTAGCGTTGTTTACCTTTTAGTTGCGCAGAGTATACCGTTGTATATACTTTTAGAAATGGCCGCGGGTTCAACGTATTACCAACTTGTTTCTTTTGAGGGCGGAAAAGTCACGTTATTCGAGCAGAATGCCCGAAGCACGTTTGCCCATGAAAGATACCGCAATAAAAAGGTACTAATATGGGGAATTAGAAAGAAACTTTTTTCAGATCGCCTTTGTTAGCGTTGCTGGTCCGGCGAGAAGCGGAAAAAGTTTTTTGGTCGCTTATCTGACAAGGTGAGTTGGACTACTGCATTGGCAGCCTCGAATACCTAATATGCTTCTTGCCAAGCTAATTATTATTCGCAGTGGTTTCTTCATTCGTGGTCGTTTCAAAAGCGGTTATGCACGTGATACGGAAGGCATTCTAATTTGCGATACGCCATGGGTGCTGGAGGATCAGGTTTGAGAAAAGCTATATAATTATTTTTTTACACATTTATAGACGGTCGTATTTTTCCTGGACACGCAGGGCACCTTCGACCTGGAGACAGAACCAATCGTTTCCGAATTGATTATGGCATTTAGTCTACTGGTCTCGGGCCTACAGGTACAGGGACGTAGCGTAATACCGGCCTGGGGCCCGCCCCCCGAAATCGGCCGGGGCCCGAAATTTCATAAGGGGGGACCCTTATGATTTTTATTTTCTCAGAAATTTTGCTGCCTGCGGCGCTATTTTTTTCCGTTTTTACGGCTATTTGTAGAGTTATGGAACCTTTTTTTCAAAAATTCAAAAGGCGCTGTTTTCTCGTTAATGTTTTGAGTTTTTTTTGGAAAAATTTTTTTGGGGGCCCCCCGAAATTTTTTTCTGGCTACGCCCCTGTACAGGTCATACAGACTACGTCTTTGCCACGCCAGTGTTAAATTTTTCGGTTTTAAAGGGGCTGCCCACGAAAACAAAGGAAAAATTAGATTATAAACCTCCGGGTAAACATCGATGGCGACGACCTTCGAATGGTGCATCGCTCCGTCGAAGCGGTAAACGCCATGAAACGAAACGCAGTTGGCGAGGTTGGCGACTATTCTTTATGTCCTTCTTATATAAATTTTATAATTCTTTTTCTACAGCACGACTTGTCCTTTAGAAGCTTTTGTTTTTGATTCGAGATGCCGCGGACCCCAAGGTAAAGGGTGAAGATGTACTGGCGCAACTTTGGGTGGGTCGCTAGAACCTGATTTTAATTTTATGTTAGGAAAGCGGCAAAGCGTCCCAGGAGCTGTCTGAGGCACGTGAATCCTTGCAACGCCGTTATAAGATCGCATGTATTCCTTTGCCTGTGCCCAGCGACAACGTCAAGAAAGGCAATAACACAGCTACAATATGCACCGGTCGGTGATCCATTCATTTACCTTGATATCACCGTAACATTGCTTCTAGGCAAAGACAACGCGGACTTTTCCAAAAAACTTCAATGTGTAAAGGAATATCTAAGGCAACATACTGTTGGCGCAAGTTCGACCCGACGTATGGACTGGGCATATTGGCAGGTAGCTTTTTTGGTTGCTTGCTTCTAATCCAACTAAGCTCTTCTTCATTAAGCGTTTTCAGGAAATTGCCGCGTTCTTAAATAATGCCTTTCCCCGATACACAAGCCGTGCCGCTGTTACGCAAAATCTTCTGCTGGCCCATGCCATTGAAAGCGCCTTCAACAATTTGGACACCACTTTTTCGGTTTGGTACCAAACCGACAGAGTCAACTTCCCGATTTAGAAAGCCACTTTGGAAAATATTGACCAACGAAAGTTACATTTCACGCGGATCTTGGAAGGCCGTATCAAAAAGCAGCACCTAGGAACCCTGCAAACTCAAGCCATCCAGCAAGCATTGGACCAAATGGATGTGAGGATGGCAAAAAAAATAACTAAAATTAGTTTCGGGAACACCATGTGGTGTATTTTACTCCTTTTGGAGTTTTCCCGGCGCGTTTCAATCGCCAATTTAGCATTTTCGGGAAAAAAAGTTGGAGTTTTTTCCAGCTCGATTACCAGAAGAAACTGCAACTTCTGAAAGCGGAAAAATTTTTGGCAGAAAAAAGAAGCGACAAGGAAAAAAGTAATTGAAGCAGCACATCTCGATATTGGCAGGGTAATTTTTCCTAACCCCCCTGTGCGATGCTGCGAGGACGTCGTGACCTTTCAACTTTCAGCTTAGCCAATTTTCGGCTGCTGTGAAATTTTTGTATGATTTGCCTGAATATACAAAAGGCGATTCGGAAATTGAGAACGAGATTGAGGTAGGCTATCCCTAGTCCTTCTGCAGCTTTGCACGGCCTGCAGAAAATTATCTGTTCAAACGATTATCAAAAAACGGTTATCCCTCTTACTGGGCCCATGCCTGAATGAAGCGGTCGCACAGCAATGTTGGTCATGTAAGGATCACATAATCTCGGTAGGTCCATTTTGACATCCTAATCACTTCCCTCCCCGAACCGTCACCAATTTCAGGTTGACGTTGAAACGTTTACCGAATATGCGACAGATCAGGAACGCTTGCTTAAAGGGGAAATTGAAGCGCTTCGGAAAAATATTGCTGAAGCAAAGGAGTTTGTTGACATTGATGACGCTACCGAGACGGCTATGCTGACTAATGCGAGGAAGGAATTAAAAGTAAGAGCTGCATTCTGAAAACAGATCATCGATTCCGAAAATATAGTGGGTAGATGATCTCCTGCTATTTTCAGAAAACTATCGACACAGCGATACGGGGTCGGGAACAGCGCCTTCACGACGTGCTAGCTACTGGAGAGCAAAAACAAGCAAAAGCTCACAGTGATAGCCCCAGCGGCTCGAAAAGGTCATTTTCTGACCCTATAGATAAGACAAAATTAATACGGCCGGGCCCAGTTTGCGAGAAGAATTCTTCAGAAAATGAAGAGAAAAATGCGGCCTGTGTAGATTCGTTGCGCAAACGGGATCCAATAGTAGAGACGGGTGGCACTGAGTCTTTGTCTCCGCCAGAGAAGCGAATAAGGCCAGAGCAGACAGACCGGCTTGATCAGGAAACGCCATTTTCTCCGGGCGAAACTCTCCAACCAGCGACAACCCTATTAGCCAGTACTGCATTAATCGAGCCGAATGGCCTCCTCAATCAGACTGCAAAGGAACAAAATGAGCTCACCGAACGCCAGCAGCAGTCGAAGCCAGTCCAGGGAATCGTGGCAGACGACCACGGAAACGAACGGGCGGATGAAGCCTTAATTAGTGAATGTACAGGGGGCGATTCGATAAAAACATCTTTTGAAAATTCTTCCACTATCGAAGAAGTAAGTCCTCACGTCGCCGACGCAGCATATGCTTGTGAAGACACGGGGCGCGGCTCTCCAGACGGTTGGAACAGGGAACTCACCAAAATGCCGACCTCCACATCTGCGGAACTCGAGGCACCCAACAGCCCTTCAGTCATTTTTGGCACGAAAGAGTTTGAAAACCTTCCGGACGAGGATATTTGCAATGTCGGAGGCAATGCCGATTCCGGCCACCATTCACTGAATCAGGAGTCGGTCTATTTCGAAGACCACAGAAGTGAGCTATCAAGTGTTATAGGAGCGTCGCAGACGCTTCGGAATCCTTTTCGAGCATCAGATGCTAGAGGCAAAGAAGAGCTGCCGAATTTGATTTTGGCGAATCGAAGGACTGCAGCGGAGATGGCCGACAACAACGCAACCCAGGACCAAACACTCCCAGAGAGAGGTACGCACCCTGAAGGGCAGCGGGCATTGACAAAAATGGGCTTGAGTTCATTGGCTTCAACGAAAGAAAAACCAATGACAAAAATTCCAGTCGCCGAGGTGTGGGAATCTCAGGAAGAGAACGGCATAAAAGAAGCCCTTGCTCGACGAGAGGACCCCTTTCCGAGAGAATTGCTGGCTGTATCGCCAGAATCAGAGTATCAACATCTTCAACCGACAGGATCTGAATATTCCGGGCGTACTAAGCGTAACAGCGATCCGATAGACGGTGCACTACATCGCGATTTCCATGCTATGCCGTCGGCGGCAAACGGGCTGGTGCGTGCCCGTGAAAGTCCAACTGAAGGCCATCGGCAAAAAAAACAGATGAACCACGAAGCGACAGATAAACAACAAAATGATGGCTCAGTGAAGGATTATCAAGGTTCGCCACTGCGCGAATCAGGATATTTGAACTCAGCAACCGCTGAAAAAGTTGAAGCTATCCTGAAAAGTCGTTCCAATGGTTGTACGGGAGGACAGCCAAACTTCGTTGCCGGTAAACATGATATAGAGGCTTTCGGAAGAATAACCGAGGTCGTCCCATGCGGTGATCCAGGTCACAACCAAAATTCTATCTATTTTAACCAGCTAAGCGTCGAGTCATCAATGCCTAGCGAAAGCGCAATTTCATTAGAAAGAATGCCTTTCATCGATGATGCAGAACAGCCGCGGCCAAACCAGCCAGAAGACCGCGGATTCAACGGAGATGCGCCATTTTTCAACAACAGCTCAGGCCCAAATAGTCAAGGAAAGTACTGGGATGAAGCTACAAGTTTACCCGGTGAACGTTCACTAACGGTCGAGTTAGCTCATTCTGAAAAACACGTCTATGAACAACAATTGCGAAGGGATCCGCCGATCGGTCTACCTGACGGCTTTGTGCGCAATGCATCTGTTGTGTTAACGAGTTTTACAGATGCAAGTAGCGACCAGCGAGATCTCCATCAGCGAGATGGTATCTCGCCGTTGAGGAACGAACACAAATATGTGACTCAGTCGGCAGCAATCTTTTCGTGGGATGATTTGTCAACGAATCTCGCTCCTAAAAATGGAACAGCAAAATCCCGCCCTGAAACGCCCGGTATATGGCTGCGGGATTGCGAAGACGACCCGGAAGCGGGACCTCTCCGAAGACAACCGTCTGGCGCTTTCACGTACATTTGCCCTCCATTTTCTGAACAGATCAAAAATGCAGAAACCGTCTCCGAGCAGAATTCTATCGAAAAAGATATAAGATACACTACGATGCTGCTTGCCCCGAAAGAGGCTCAAAGCGAAGCAGCTGGGGAAGTGGAGTACCATGCGGCTCAAGCAAAGAAGCTTCGGCAAGAGGGCAAGAAAAAACCAAAGGCCGAATTAGATGATAAAATTCGTCTGGATATGGAATGGTTCGACGTCGCTATGGATCGTTGTATGATGGTATGTGCTTTTTTATTTTTTATTTCTAGCACAGTAGACTCGCGCCCGTTGCCCCGCGCAGAAAATCCAAAAAACTTTCTGGCCATCGGGCCCCCGAAAAAAATGATCAGCGTTAATTTCAGAAGTATCACAAGGAACGGGTCTTACTTTTGCCAGTACGACAAGAACAGCTGAGGCAAGATCTGCATAAAGCCGTCAGTGGTTGCACCCAAAGTCATCAATACAGTGAAGCATCTGCGCGCAAAAGACGGAAGGCAGCCATCGCAGCCTATAAAGCTGCAACCCAGCGCAAGGATTTTGTATGTCATTCGACCCTGAGCCTTTCCACATCCCGTCCTGCTACCTAATCTAACCTACCTTAAACTTCAGGACCAGCGCGTCGACATACGAAATGGCCTCGATGCTTCGCTCCTTAAAACTAAGGAATATACTAAATGCTTCAATGTACTTGGCAACTATGTGGCTGAGGTGCGAAAGACGGTTAAACGCCACCGAAAGAACCCAAGTCTATGCAGAACCCACGTCAGCAAGCAATTTAGTAGTTTCACGGTTTGTTTGACCCGATCTATAGAAAAAACTAGATTTCAGACCCATTGCCGGCAGCGCCAATTTCCGTTCGAGATCGAAAATTCATTGTTACGGCATTTCGAGTTGTATTGCCTGGATAAATTTTTACAGAAAATGGGCACATCGCTATATCCGGTAGGTGCGATTGTGTTTGAGAGCCTTGGCCCTTGAGGTCCTATAGTGACGTAAAAACTCATCCAGAGTACAAATCGATTGCTCTTCTCTAATAAATTTATTTTGAGTTTCGGCCCACAGACGTGGACTATGACGACGACATAATCATCAAACGGTGTGTCAACCAGGGAGGCAGACGACGAATTAAGGAAACAAACGAATATTTTGGAGGAGCGATTGAATATTTGGTACATATGCTGATTCAAGTAACCCCGTAGTTCTCGATGGGGCGAGAATAGCATAAGCACTCAAGCGACCTGCTGCATTCACTTCACAATCAGGCGTCGTTTAGATCTCCCACTACCCGGAGAAGTGGTCTTTGTTGCGTACTATCGATTACGCCGTCGAATATATGCATTTCTTTTACGATGTATTGGCGAAAGGCACAAAAATGAATGATAGTGAAGAACTATGGCAAACGTTGCAAGATCTGTCCATGGAACGGTGGACGGTAAAAGCAATCGCGGTGAGCCATTCAGTTTAGAAAACATTTTTCATCCCGATCCAGTGAATGCGTATAATTTTTACCTTTACACTTCTTGCAGATGGGTCGGATCAAACCTTATATGTTCGGCTTGAAGGGTGGTGAATATAGTTCTTATACCAATGATATGCTCCAATATGTCGGGCAATATATTCGGCAGCCAAGGCAGGCGGAGAATGTACAACCCCCACCCATCCACCTATAGGGCGAAGGAATGAATAAATAATTGAATGAATTTGGCTTCTTTGGAATGAATGGTTGTGTTGGCTTTTTTAACGACACAGCCATAGCCCTATTGAAAGTAGTTGTACGAAAAGATTTTTTTGTAATTCTTGGAGGCCTGCCAGCACTATCATATGCGTATTTGTAGCCCGTATCTGCCCGGACTTGGTCTAGAATAATTCTATAAAGCCACGTCGGCGTTGCGGGATTGGAGCACAACGGGGGGACAATCAGAAAAATAGGTAAAAGAAGCAGAGGTTTTGGTACGCATAGTGGGCGCACTAGAGTCGTTAGAAAAAGCGCTGAGAAATGACATTGTGATTCAGATAAAGGAACAAGACTTTATACACGTAAATAAAAAACAAAGAGCATATAGACTTAACCGATAATCTGGTTCATCTGGAACTCCAGGTCGGTGACGCGTCGACGGAATTCCTCGGCATCGGGACGATAGCGGTTAGCCTGTACCCATTCGTAGGCGGCGATACCGAGCTCCTTGATACGTCGTTTACCATCGACGCTCAGGTGTTGGACCTGTAATTAAAACATTTTTAAGATGGGGCCAGAAGAGTGCATCAAAAATGACGTTAAATGTTTGGCTTCGAGTCCGGAAGATACTAGCTAAAAACACGCTCTCCAACAGCCGTTAATGCAGATTCGGACTTACCCGAGGATTCGTCAGCCACATCAGACCGTGCGCCGTGTCACGATACTTGACCAGCGCACTGACATTGTTACGGAACGTCCGATCCTCTTCCTCGCACTGCTTCCAGTTCTTCAGATAGTGGGAGATGTTGAACACCTGAAAATAAATTATTACGAGCTATCTATCGGAATTTGAGCTGAAATATGCAAATCTTTGATTCAGCTGCAAACCGATTTCTTTCCAAGCTTCTCCCGGTCGATCTTGATGGATTCGTGTGTCCCTTCGAGAAGTTCTTCCGCTTCCACAGTCAGAATTCCATTCTGGTCGATCTCGTACGTCACGTCGATTTGCACCTCGCACTGCTTGGCCTTCCGGATTGGCAGCATGAACTTGCCGAGCAAGTTGTTCAAACCGTAGTCGAACCGCTCGCCCTCAACCACCTAAATACGGGCTTTATGTTGCGTTGCGTAACGGATTGCTTGTAGATGACGCAGCCTTGTTGTTCATGAAGAACTCACCGTGATACAGGCCTGTTCCTGGTAGTCTGATGCGTTGTGTACGCGCAGCGTCTTTTTGACGGGGAACGAGGTGTTGCGCTTGAAGAGGACGGTGGTTTCTCCGCCCCACATTCCGGAGCCGATCGTCAACGGGATGACATCGATGAGGTCGATGCAACGGATCGTCTCGTTGCAGTTGCCGACAAGGCGGGCAGCCTAAATACGGCCGTAAGGTTAAGAGAGAGAGAGAGAACGAGCTAGGGCGGAGAACGAGCGATATTACCTGAAGTGCCGCACCACACACAACCATCTCCTCCGGTCTGTCCATCCAGCAGCCAGCCTTGGGGAACTTCTCGAGCAGCATCTCTTGCACCTTCGGGATGTTGCTCGATCCGCCAACGAACACCACCTCATGCACCTAAAGCTCCAATCTCAGGAAACACTCTTTTGGACTCACGTCATCATATCGAAGCTTAGCGTCCCGGAGCGCGTGCTCAACCGGAAGTAGGGATTCTTCAAAAAGCGTCGCGCAGATGCCTTCGTAGAATTCGCGGGTGATCTTCTTGCTGTAGTCAAAGTCGAGTAGAAGCGACGGGACCTCAATCCAAGCCTGAAACGATAGTGGATTGAGCATGACTTTCTGAACTCTACCTCTTTAGCGGCCGAAAGCTGGATTTTAGCTTCTTCACACGCGAGGCGCAGTCGGGCCCAAGCACGGCTGTCTTCCTTGATGACCTTGTCCTCCATGTCGGAGAGGCAGTAGTTGAGGAGGGCATTGTTGATGTCCTCGCCACCGAGGTTTGGGTTTCCGCTTGTGGCCATGATCTCGAACTTGGTGGAGGTCATCCTGACGATCGAGATGTCGAGAGTGCCACCTAGAACCGGAGGTAAGAACGCATCTAGTTATCCCCTACCTCCAAAGTCGTAGACCAAGACGATCCGCTCCTCGTCGAGGTGATAGTCGACACCATAAGCAATGGCAGCAGCTGTCGGTTCATTCAAAAGTCGTAGCACCTCGAGTCCGGCCTGTTCAGCTGCCTCTTTCGTTGCTTGTCGCTGCGCGTCGTTGAAGTATGCAGGTACGGTAATGACCGCCTTTTTCACGGGTTTTCCAAGGTATTCACCGGCCATTTCCTGAAAATTGGATGATTAGAATTTAGACTTTTCATGGCCATGTTCTGATTGACCCACCATGTCAGAAAAATATGCCCCCGCGTATCCACATACCTTCAACTTGGTCAACAACTGCGTGGACACCTCCACCGGGGTTACGGTATGGACCTTGTCCCCCTGCTTGACCTCGATCACCGGGTCCCCAAAGGCGTTGATGACCTTGAAAGGTCGCATCGTCATATTCGCCTGCACCGTCGGGTCCTTGAACGTCTTGCCCATCAAGCGCTTGACTTCTGAAAATTGCATAGGTGAAAATTACGCAAATAGGCTTACCGTAGATCGTATTCCCAGAATTTCGCGCAGCCTGATTCTTGGCGGCCTGTCCGACCAGGATTTTGTCGTTGATGTAGGCGACTTGAGACGGGGTGGTTTTGTTGCCTAAAAATCTAATTCTTAAACATTCAAGCGTCTATACCGTATTCGTTCGGAATCATGACGACTTCATCGGCAAGGCAGATGGCCACCGCCGAATAGGTGGTGCCGAGATCAATTCCAATCGCGGGTTCGGAATTGTAGAGCCTGAAAATTAATGTGAAAAATCAATGAAAATTTGATTGAACAATTTTTAAGTTTCAAACTTACAGGCAACGAACGTTGTCCTTCTCCTTCTGAAGTCGGGTCATCTTGGCCTCCTGGAAAACACGGAGCCCCTCCTGCAGCTTCTTCTCTTCGGCCCGCTCAATGGCAAGCCGTTCAGCCTCTTCTTGACACTGCCTCTGATGGTCGTTCATCTGTTCTTGCTGCTGACGACGCAACGCTCCTAAAATTTGCTATGATAATTTTATCCTTATCTGGTTTCTATCAAATCAAAAATCCTAGAAAGATAAAACTCACTCAATTGCCCTTCCCCCCACTTCCTGGTTGTGCTTGAAGCTCTTCTCCGCCTCCTGAAGTCGTTCCCACTTCTCCTGCAGCTCCTTCTCCTTCTGCTCCGCCTCCATCTTCATTAATTTCAGCTTCAGCCGATCATTAGAGTCCTTCGACTTCAGCGCGTTCGCATCGGCGCTGAGTTTCTGGATCTCTTCCGTCAGTTGCTGCACATTTTCCTCGTGCTCCAAGCGTTTTTGTTCTGCTTCTTCTTCCATTTGGCGGACGCGCTTCAGGGCGTCGACGGTGCGCCAGAATTGCGTCTCGGAGGCCTGAAATCTCAATATACCAGGGAAAAATCAATTTAAGGTCGATTAAAGTGTTTTATAGCTACACACCTTCAATCCTCTGGCCAAGCTCCCGGAGTAGAGGCTGTCCAGGTACTTCTCAAACGCCTCCACCGGCAGATTAGGCTGTTCGTTGGCGAGCTCTTCAAGCAGTTCGGTCTTCGCCAACTCCCACGTCGTCTCCAGGGTCTCTTTCGCATCTTTCATGGCGCTCTCGGCATCTTCTTCGGTCAGGATTTGTGGCGCCACCTAGAATAATTTCGTTTCCTCCGCTAATGCTTGCAAAAAAATAGTCAAAAGCTGCCACTTACCAGTTTCAAAAGTTCATCAAAGTCCACGAGGCGCCTTTCGACAAGTTCTTCTCCCTTTGTCTTGATCCATTCCTGGGTATTCTGATGGAGGGCATCATTGAGGCGGTCCTGAGATTTGGTTTGGAAAAATAAAATCAATATTTTACCTCAAGCAACTCGACGAGTTGTGCCTTTTTCTCAAGAACGGTATCGTAGTCGGTCGCGCAGTACTCCGAGCAGGCTAGAATAATGCAAATTATGTTTTTAAAACGGAGAAAATCTGTGAATATACACTTTTCACGATATAGTCATGCTCCTTACATTCTTGGAAAGAGTTCAGGGCCTCTTTCATGGCTCGTCGATGCGAATCCTGCACATCGTTGATCGTCATCACTTCCTTTCTCAGGCAATCCGTCATTTCAGGCTAAATTTGCATATGCCAGTAGTTGGAAAAAATGTCCATACCTGAATAGCCTTATTATACACCCGAAGTGCCGAATGAATAGCCCCAGTCAAATATTTTGCCTTGTGCTTCTCAGCGTTCAGCTCCCACTTGGCTTGCACTTTTTCCTAAACGAATTCTTTTCAGTACTAAGCTTAGTGGTACCTGAAGCTCCGCCTCAAACTTGCCGAGCGCGTCGGCCAGCTCTTTCTGCGTGCCGTGTCGCCGAACGGCTTGGTAAGCCTGGAGTGCCTGCTTCCAAATCAGCTGCGAGCGCGCTCGGAATTCCTCTGGCTTTAGGATCTCGAAGGTTGATTCCTAAAATTTGTCATTTTCTGGTTTTCATCCGAAAATTCTATACCTTGTTCCACAGGTCGCGGAACAGCTCCAATCCGGCATTGCGTGCTGTTTCCAGTGATAACTGCTTGAATGCCTAAACGAGGAATATTCAAATCAAATTCCGGCCAGTTTACCGTATAGAAACTGCCAATTTTGCAGCGATTCTTCGACTCCATCTCCTTGAAGACGCCCTGAAATTGTTGGTGTCAATTTTTGGTCAATATTGCCAAGATTGTAACATTTTCAACTCAATAAAAATTACTTGCCTGGGTATATTGAAGGAAGCTAGCCCCGTTCAAAGCTCCGCCCATCACGCATTTTGGGCGCAACGACTTGAGGACGTGCCGCGCGGCGTCGCACATCAAATTCAAGAACTCGCGTCCACAGCCTGAAAATTTGCATATAGGGAAGCGGGCAAGCTAGCAAAGATCATTTAGGAATTAGACGAGCACGACTACATCCTATAAATCCAAAAAACTCACGCCCAGCCTCGATCTCCCCATCCGCAGAGCGTACGGCGTTCTCCGGCGGTACCACCAGAAAACTGTCGACCTTCTCGAAGGCGTAGTAGCAGCCAGCGATCAGCTGATAAAGCCGAGGAGCGCTCTTGGCCCCTCCGAGCAGGTTCTCCAGGAAATCCGGGCTCAATCCGTGCCCCTCGAGCGCGTCTCGCACGAGGAACATGAAGTGCTGTCCAACTTTGTCGCCGCTCATATCGCTGTACTCGATGAAGCTGCTCAGCGACTCGAAGTCGGTCGCGTCTAGTTTAGAGTTGACGTTGAAAATCTCAACACGATATGATTAGGATTAAGGCATACATTTTATACCTGAATTGAAGACAGCAGTAATGAAGTTGAAAAGTAGTTGATCGATTCATCAACTTCGGATTGATTATCAAAGGTACCCTGTGTATCCATGAGAATCACAGCAATCTAAAAATTGGTTATTAAGAAGGTATGCAGCCAAAAATTACCTCATTCCCGTGCACATCAGTACGCGTGAATACTTCGGGCCAGACGTTCAGTCCGACCGTGTCCCTTCCGAAGCCCTTCCGGAACGGAATCCCACCGTAACCCCTGGAATTAAATACTAGCTTTTAAGGTATTATTTAAGCCATACCCGATAAGCTCGTGATCCTGGAATTTCGGATCGCCAGTTTGCAGACCCTTGAGCAGGATATTCTGCCAGAAAGTCTTTCCAAAACGAGACTTTCCACCCGTTGAGATGACGGCCACCTGAAAATAAGAATCGTTCGATTAAAAATGATCTTATCTTATTTGCTATTAAATAACACTATTTGAAAAATGTATTTACTGACCGGTCGGTTGCCAATCTGATTGCAAAGGCTCTCGAGCAGCTCCTGGTTGTGCACCGGGCTGTCACCGACGAGTTTGTAGAGGCACTCCATCGTTGGGGGAACCTTTAGAAAGATTAATTTAAATTAGACAATTAGTTTTTTATATCTAGTACGAGAAATGCGCAAAGTCATACCTCCATATCCTGAATGACGACAATGTCCTCCGGATCATCGCCGTTGGTAGACGCGTGAGCCGACATTTCTGGAAACGTACGTAAAATTTGGTTTGAGAATTCATTTTTGAGGTTTTGAGAAATTGCAGGGATGAAAAGTGATAAAGCAGAGATTTCCATATCCCAAGCCCAAAAGCAAAAAAATTCTCCCCGGCCGGGAATTGAACCCGGGTCTCGCATGTGACAGACGCGGATACTAACCACTATACTACCGAGGACATGGAAGTTAGGGAAAGAGGAGCCAGTTTAAGGGATGGGGCCCACTAAAAGGGTAGGGGGATTGTACTAGTAGGCGATACGACTTCGTGGTCAAGGCATGTTCTTGGTCTTATGCTAATTCTAGAGAGGGCATCTTAGGACAACCGTTATGGGAAAATAATGAATGAGGCAAAGCCAAGCCAACTTGACCTATAAATTCAAAAGATTTATGGTCCTGCGCAGCAACGGAAATTAATGATAGTAAGCGAAAATGGCGGCACGGCTATGTGCAACGGGGGCAAGCATCTGCATCGCGTCATAGGTCAACCGATAGCCCGAGGGTACCTCTGAAAGGGGTACATCAACCTGTACACACTTTTGGGGGCAGATCGATCGGGGGATGATTACGGATATCGAGAGGGTAGAAGGGGTTAAAGGCTCCATAACAAATGATAGTATAT